GCACACGTCAGGCATGACTGCAATTAGGATTCCGAAAGATGTTGGGCTTCCAACATTTATGGACAACTGGCAGCGAGCAGTGAGCGTCTGCGCCAAAACAGGCCGTTGCAAGAGTGCCCCTGAAACATGTTGCTGAAGCTGAAACCCCTCTCCCTTCTGAGTTCGGGTTATACCTGTCCACGATTCCGGTTGTCACGACGACCCCCTTTTAGAGTTTAGGGTTTAGAGTTTAGAGTTAAGGGTTTAGGGTTTAGAGTTTAGGGTTTTGTGGTTTAGGGTTTAGGTTTTCGGATTTCGTAGGGTTTGGGGATTAGGATTTCGGATTTAGGTGTTCAGGGCTCGGGGTTTAAGGGTTGAGGGGTTTACGGTTTCGGATTTAGGGTTCAGGGCTTAGGTTTTGGAGTTTTTCGGAGTTTAAGGTTTAGGGTTTCGGGTTCAGGGTTTAGGGTCCTGCTCGGCTTATTAGTTTGGAATGCCGCATTGCTTGTCTATCAATGTTGCATGTCCGTGTTCAATCCTACTTCAGCTCGCTGTAGCAGCATGTTGGGCCTCCATTCACAAAGCGTGAAGCACAGCCATGTTCATCATCAGTACATCTGCTCTTGGCAGGATAGGCATCACGCTCTCGATCGTGATCGGTGCACACACGAAGGTTGCTGTGTATCAAAACTACGTACGTTGTCGTGGTCAAGACAACTTAGCAGCTAGATACATACCCACTTGAACTTGGACAGAACTGTATCTTCAGCATCCCAACAACAATCGTATCCTAGTCTAGCATCCTTGTCTTCGAGATCGTCATTGGCGTCGGGGTGGCCTCCGTCATCTCCATTACTTTGTTCTTCGCCGTCACCTCCATCATCATAATCATCTTTATCGTCGTCTTCATCTATATGACCAACATCATCTGTGTGAAGTTCAAAGATGACTATAGCCAGCGATTCAAACGACAACCGTCACGTGTGCGGCCATCGGCTATGTCCCCGCCCAAATCCCCCGGACATGTATCGCCAAGGGCACTGCCGACACCTGTCCCACCACCATGGCACCATCACCACCGCTGTCATTATCAGTACAAGCTGATGCCGGTTGTGATGGTGAAAAAGAAGATGATGATGCTAATGGTAATCAGCGATGATGAGCGTGTTGGTACTGATGGCTCGTTATTAAATACGACTAATTCCTGATCCTTTCATGAGGTGATGTCCATCACGGCACACTCCAGGGTCTTGTCCTTGCTCGCATGTTGCGGTGAAGAATTCAAACAACCTCCCCATCTACCTGATTAGGACCTAACCGAAGGTTTTCAATTGTTTGAGGGTTTAGGGTTTAGGATGAGGGTTGAGGGTGTCAAGCTGGGCTGCGTCCCTCAGCCCTTGATGGGAACCGTGCCTCCGTCAGGTCACCATCGAAGGTGGCGACGTGCTGGTAGCTGACCGGGAGACAGTCCTGGTCGGCCGTGCAGTTGCATGGAGAGACGGTTTAGGGTTTAGGGTCTAGGGTTTAGGGGTTTAGGGTTTAGGGTTTAGGGGTTTAGGGTTTATAGGGTTGCATGGAGACCAACCCAAACAAATAGGACCAACAGTAGTTACCCAGAGGCCCCAAAGTAGTTCCTTTTTGGGATTACCCTTTCGGAGGGTGGATCCTTCTTGTTCTTAGGGTGAATAGTACTATGGTGATGATGGGGCCAAGCAGGCGGCTGATGAATAGCTGGCCAATCAACTAACCGCACAATTTAAGAGAAACAGTAGCAGCATCAAGAGCGTCGTGGCTGCTTCGGGGATTTAGGCTGAACCGAATGTCTCGACATCCGCTGAAGGCGTTTCGCAGCGGACCAACGAGAAGGGCGCGGAGAAGCTTGCACAGTTCCTCTTCTCCCAGACGCCTGTAAAGCGGGTGGTGAAGGTCGGCTCATTAATCACCTATCCTATTTTTGATGGTTCCTTGTCATAATTAATTATAGTATAATGGGCTCCAAAATATTCTAAATTAGTCTAATTATTAAGGCCCCTCAATTGGACTTATCAGCCGGGGATGTGGGTTTAAGGCCAGGAGCATCAAGCGTCTCGCCGCTTGAGCATCGCAAGGTTTTTGGGCTGTTCACTTTCGGAATTGTGAAGATTCATTGCTTGGTTGTTTCTTTACGTCTTATGTAGCATCTATGCCAGTTCACACCACATGACTCTCTCTCTCTCTCTCTCTTTTTGCATCGGTCGTTTGTTTGACTTCGCATGCACGCGGCTGGACAAAGGCCGCCGCGGCTTGCATCCATGCGAGTACTGGCTCTCACATGATCATCAACACCCCAGAAGCCCTGTGTAGCGCCGTGAGAACGGCTCATTGCACCCTGGAAGAGGTCTACATCCCCAAGCAGAGGGCCTTCATGCACTTGGACACGCGTTGGCCTCGGAAGCTCTTAGTTCTGGTGCATGGGGCTTAGGGGCCCTCGAACCCTGAAATTTAAGGTTCGTGGTTTAGGGTCAACAGCTTGATGTTGAGCCCCTAACGATGGACTGTGGTCATTGCAGGTCTTTCAGTTTGAGTCTAGGGTAGGCATGCGGTGCTTTGACAGACTGAACCAGCTTGGGCAGACAGTTTCGACGATAAGCTAAGGCTGGAAGGGCTTCGCCGGGTCTTTGTCAGTCAAAGCTCAGGTTCACAGGGCAACCTTTCAATGTCTCCCAGGACCGAGGAGGTTTTGAGAGCATGGCCTCAAGCTCCTTGAAAGTATAACAGGAACCCTCGGAAACCAAACAACCAGGCCCGGGCAGGAACCTGTGTTGCACAAACCAGAGTCGACGGGAGATGATGTGAGATGGTCGGTTCGGCCGAGGTGCTGCAGTGAAAAGCCTATTACCTGGGTGTGAGTCGTCCTACAACAAACCCTAAGCCCGCCTGGTAAAGCAAACTGAAGAGGGCCGAATAACAAGAAAACATGCGAGTTCCAGTCTGAAGGCCTTGCTGCAACGATTTTTTACTGTGCATCACAGACATTGCCATGTTGAGAGCGTTAGTCATCAGAGACACAACCACCCTAGCAGTGTTCGCGAACTTCGGCTTATCATCGTAGCCCTGATTGGGCAGATGACGCCACACGTAATGGTTAAACTGAAGATATGCTATCGACCTAGCACTCCCGAACTCAAGACTCCGAGCATGGAATGCAAACTAAAATTGCGGGTGGCAAGGGTGTTAAACCCTAAGCCCGAAACCCGAAGCCCAAAAACAGTCAGACCGCTAGACCCGCTGAGACCCTCAAGTCCTCGAGCACCACACCCTACGACTTCAAAGCCCTAAATCGTAGTCTGCAATCCATACAAGCTTGACAAGCCACAGAGCCTCGAATGCCCAAACCACAGACCCAAAGACCCCACCAACGAAAAGATAAGCACACACATGGGTGGTTGTCAAAATGAGGGTCCCTTTTTGGGTCCTTAAGATAATGCGGCACCTGGTATTTAGGGTACCCAAAAGGGGACCCTAATTTTGACAACCACCCACCTGAGTCCTAACTTCTGCCCAGGCTTTTCACTTTTGTGGATCGCGGCATGGTCGTGACGATGCCCTACTTTTGGTCAAGACCCGAGGTGTACGCCGAGGCTAGGTCGATTCCTTGGGGTTTCAGGATTTCGAAGACTCGCGCTGTAGGATTAGGGCCTATAAATCATTACCTATGGGGTTCCTTATTGTAATTGTATTATCTCGGGCCCCAAAACCCTGTTCTAATCATTAAGGCCCTGATATTAAGATTAGGTCTTGGGGTAGGCGTCACAACTGTCACAGCAGAATGGTTGTCACCATGGTGCCGTGAGTATGCTTGACTTCGTCGATCGCTTGCATCTCCATCTTCCTAGCGAGACGGGTTCTTTCGAGTATACCAGCAGGCACCAGCACTCAAAGGTGCTGGCTTGCAGTTCAGTGTTTCTTTGCGCTTGGTTCACATTCATACCACTGTTCCTACAGAGAGCTTGTGGATGCGGCGTTTATTCGGCAATGTTGAAACTGTTTCAGGAATCTCCTACCAGCCACCTTTGCTTTTGGAACGCTTCTTGAGGGTCTGTTTCTTTCAATGTCATCCTTGCAAAAAGCGCTTTGAATTGCATATATATATATATCTTAACCCAGCGAAACAGAATCTCTCGGAATCTGACAACCTGCAACGGTCGCTATCAGAGCCTGCATTTTCAACATTTTCAACACGTTTGCGAAGGCCAGGAAGCAACCTATGGTGTTGCCACTTATAACTTATCGTCATAGTGTAGTCTTATCCACGATCACTCAGATTTGACATTGGGCTCCTTGTGGTCACTGGCCAGAGGTTGCCCGTCGTGCGAACCAGTTGCACCCCGGCACGAATTCGACTTGGGTTTGTTTCCGCACGTCCGCTAGCATGGACAGGAATGCCTGAACCTCCCTCCCTCCCTCGCTCGCTCGCTCGCTCGCTCTCTCTCTCTCTCTCTCTCTCTCTCGCTCTCTCTCTCTCGCTCTCTCTCTCTCTCTCTCTCTCTCTCTCTCGCTCTCTCTCTCTCTCTCTCTCTCTCTCGCTCTCTGTCTCTCTCTCTCTCTCTCTCTCTCTCTCTCTCTCTCGCTCACTGTGTCTGCGATAACTTGCACATGTTGCAGTGGGTGTCGTGCAAGAGATAGATACCGTACTCTCCTCAGAGTGCAACCCATGCTGCAACATGATGGCGAACCTTCGCACTAGCAGTGTTCTGCAGCCACCGTGACGTGGATGCTTTGCAGCTCAGTATCCGATGCACACCACGCTCCCTTATGCTTCCAAGGTGATGATGGAGTCCGTGCGTGATTGATGCCTCTGACACTATCAATGACAAAAACACGATGGTGAAGTTGTTGCCGGTGGTGATGCTGATGGTGTAGTGAAGAAGAGGACGATGAAGAATGAAAATCAGTAGAAGACGATGACAGTATGATGAGCGCGTCCATGATTACGAATGTAAGAACTTTGCTCTTGTTGCTGCTGATGTCGATCTTGTGGAATGTGGGTAGCCCTGCTGCCGCTGCCGCTGCGGCTGCTGCTGCTGGATCCGTTGCTGCCTGCGATCGCTGTTGCTGTTTTGGGTGGTGATTGCGGGGTGGCGATGATGTCGGTGCTGCTGCTGCTGCTGCTGCTGCTGCTGCTGCTGCTACTAGGATAAGAAGCAGCGTACCCGGAAAGCATGTGGCTACCGGGGCTGATCCAACGAGTCTTGCTGAGCCTTACTTGTAGCCAACTTGTAGCTGTAAAAAGTTCCATTGCATGCAGCACCCAGGAATGAGAAGATGGGAAGTGAGCAGCGACAGGATCTCGATGAGTGGATCAAGGCCTTTCCTGTGTGACCGGCACCCTGGGGGAAGGTGATGGGTTTGGAAAGGGGAACTCGGTCGCCAGCCGTCGAGTCGCATCAAGCATATGTTGGCCTGGGACAGTTTCGAGTGAAGGGTACCTCGCTTTCTGTGTAGAAATCACAGCGATGTTTCCGACTTAGTCCTGAGGCCCTGCAACCTCGCAGTATCGAGGATCCAACACATCACAGGCTTCGGTGAGCACGTTGCCCATGTTCCAGCTCATATAGTCGCCATCGTCTTAGAGGCGTTTGGGTCTATATTTTAGAGCAGCTCAGTAGGAGACAAGATACGCCAGAAAAGAGTGGGGGAATACCATCAAGAGGATCCTGTGCCCGACGACAGAAACTCAAGCTTACGCCTAATTTCGGCTTCAAACCGAAGCCCTAAATACTGTTCTACATCCCCAAAGCCTCGCACCTTGGCAGCCGTAGACGTCACTGAACGAAAACCCTGTATGGTCATTGTAGGAAGTGCACAGCAGTACACGTCTAGTCTGACACCGCCTGGGGTTGTCTGAGTCAGGGTCCTTGCTGGTATCCCCATCAGAAGGCAGCACTCGTGCAAGACAGGGACTTGATTTCGAGAGCCAAAAACGCTTGTCGATTTGGCAGGTCTAGGGTTCAGACTTGGGTAACTCACCGTGAGCCAGCATAATTCGCAAGATACTTTCCAGAGAATCGTTACATCCAGATTGTGCGACATTTGTGTTCCAAGTACCTGTATCAATGGTAAACTGTATCGGTCGGCACCATCCTACACCCTGGTTTAGAAAGAGCGCCGATATCGTCGATAGCGGTACTACTGCCTTAAGGACGAAATGATCCCTAAAAGGGTTTAAGGTTCATATACCGTATAGGGACAGTATATGGGTATAGGGCCCCTACTTTTCAGGGTCATTTGGTCCTTCAGGTAATTACTAGTACGTTACTAGTCTGACGAAGGGTTCCCGAATACAAATCTAGCGCCGCATTATCCTCTCCCCAAAACACACTCACGAGCAGCCCATGCTGCCCCGAAGCATGAGCTTGCTTTAAGTACTCAGGCGTCTGTTTGTAATTATAATTGCCCCAATAAGCCCCCAAAAACCTGCATTAGGCTCCATACCAGAAAAACACCGCCGCATGAACAGGAGCCTCCTCGCATTGAGGTCTTGACCAAGGGCGCCGGGGGGCCAAGCCGTTGAAGCAAAAGCCTCGTGTTACGGTTCGGAAAGTAGGGCCTAGGAATTTGATTCTCAGAGTTTGGAGTGTAATATCGTTGTATCGGAGTTTAGGGCTTGGGGTTTAGTCTTTATGGGAATAATGCGATACAGAGCTCAGGATTGGGGGTTTTGGCAGGTTTCTTCTATTGAGCTGAGAAGGAGATTTCAGCGCACCGTACCGGAGTTGTAATGCACTTGTGAGTGTCGGGAATGGCAGGGCCAGGGTGTATTCATGAAGCTATGGTGTGGAAATGTCGTAATCAATTTGCTGGATGCTCCGAGAGTTTTATGATGTTGATCTTGAAGGTTTTCGAACCTTACAGTAGGTTGTTGATGGGTAGGGCTGCTGTTCAAACCTCCTTTGGGTTTGTCGTATAGTTCTGATATTCAATCCCCCAATACCCTGGTCTAACTAGTAAGGCTTCTATATGTATGCCTCCTTGCCCTTGAGCGTGAAGGGCCCTTGGCGCTTCTTAGGGTCTATATGTCTAGGAATGTCTAGGATGAAGAACCTGATGGAATTCTTCTTCGGCAGCCCACCAAAAGAAGGGTCTATATGTCTAGGATGAAGAACCTGATGGAATTCTTCTTCGGCAGCCCACCAAAAAGCAGCAGCCCCGATAAACCCTAAAGTCTTGTTATGGAACCGCCCAAATTTGGAAGATCTCTCTTGAGGTCCTGCCTTTCCCGAGTAGGGACTGTCACGTATTGACTGTTTGTGATTCGTGCCCATTATCGTTAGGCTTAGGTTTCGGGGTTCAGGGTTTGGGTAGCTTTCTGGGTTTGAGTTTGGGGCCGTAGACCAAAAACCCTAAACACAAGGGTCTGTCGGCATGGATTTGAGAGTTTACAGTCTGGGGTATCCGTCTGCTCCGACAGAGCCGCAATCCCAACAAACGCCGCAACCCTACACCCTAAACCGCAACCAAGCCCGACGCCATCGAAACCCCAAAAGTGAAGCCACGAACCCTAAAAGTCTGAAGTTCAGGACCCCGTGCCCAAGAAGTACAAGCAAGCCATGACGGGGCTTCAGGCTCTCAGACATCCTCAACCCTAGAGTTGGCGATGTATAGGTTTAGGGTTTAGGAGAGTTCAAGTTTTGGGTGTCGTGCGCATGCCAGCTGTAAGACGGAGGTTCGCTCGTTCAGCAGTCAAAGCCTCGCCAGTAACCCCCTTAATTAGGGAGTATACCTTAAATCATGTTGTTCATTTAATTTGTATTCTCTAATTAAGGGGTGTTGAGACTAATACTGGGCTTTGGAGTACCGTACTTGAATACTGTTTTGGCGCCTGTTACTTAAAAGGGAAAGAAAAGTCTATGCTTTGTTCTCCCTGGTAACTTCGAAGCCCAGAATATGGGCTTAACCAATTAGCCATACTGTTTTGAGGCGTTGGGGCTTCCTTGCTGTTATGACTGTTATGAGTTTACTATTTTTGTTATCAAAACCCTTTTTCTTTTTGCATCTTAAAAGGCTTAGCCTGGCAAAGTGTCATCAATGATCACACAGGTTAGTCCCAACCCTGATTTCACAGCTGGTTTACCTGCTGTCTTGTAAGCTACAGTTACAGTAGTCAGGATTCAACCACGGATTCTGTGATCCTGAACGGGGAAGAGCTTTGGCAACACAGCCACTGGAAGAGTTGTGGTGGCTTTTCCGAGGTTCATAAGGGCCTATGTTAGCCACCCAGTATGGTAATATGGGAGTTTACATAATTTCCAATGCTGTTTTGTGGGGTTCCTTAATGCAACTATAGTGCAGTATAATATGACCCCAAACCCTGTTGAAATCATTAAGGCCGCCATATTAGACTATTAGACCCCTTGTAGTAGCCCTTCTAGATCCCTTTTAAAGGACTAATTTGAAGGAACCCCTTTTTTCTAATCATAAAGGCCCCTTCTAGTCGCCCTTGTAGTAACCCTTATAGATCGCTCTAAAAAGGGTAGCCCTATAGACCCCTTTAAAAAAGGGAGCCCTGTAAAGGAACCCTGTCCTAATCATTACTTGGAGGGCCGGGGGACTTAGTAAGCAGGTAGTAAGCCAAGTCTGAGGCGGCCGGATGTTCCAAACCAGCCTTGTCCTTTTTCATGGTTCCCCCAAAAGAATAAACAGACCGGCTAGTAGACCTTCTTAAATAACTCCTACTAAGGGATATAGGTATAGGGCTCTGTCGATTATTTCTAAAAGGACAAGGGTGTTCCAAACGGGATGCTGGAAGAATTTAGGAATCTCTCTAGGGCTTTGGGTTCGTTTAAGGGTTACCTTCAGGATTTTGTATAGGGTTTCTATAAGGGTCTACCTATAGTCTCCATTGTAGTTCCTTTTTTTGGTTTGACCATGTTTAGAATCAGGATCCTACAAGGTAACTCAAAACAGGAACTACAACGGAGACTATAGGCAGGTGTCAGAGTTCGTCAACATTGTCACCAAAAGCACCGTCAAAGGGAAAAGGTGTACCGTTAAGGATTTATACTGAGAAAAGTTTACGGTAGAACCCACGGGAGGTTCTCTTGGGCCTCAAGCGAGTTAGGGGGCACCTAGGGTACAAGGAGGTTCGACTCAACACCCTACACTCCCTAAAGCCTGAGCCGAAAACCCCAGCCCTACCCTAAATCCTACACCCTAAGCCCTAAACCCTAAGCCCTAAACCCTAAACCCCAAAGAGCCCCAAAGCTAAGCCCTAAACCCAAAGCACTAAACCCTAACCCCTAACCCCTAAGTCGGGTCGGCAGGCCGAAGGCATCATCGAGAAGGCTCCATCGGTTCAAGAGGGTTCGATACAGTGTGCGTCGTTTAGGGTTTTAGGGTTTAGGGTATATAGGGCTTAGGCTTTACGAGGTTTTGAAATAGTATGGGGTTCGCTTAGGGGTTTGGGGTGAGGGGTTACGCAGATTTTTTGCATGTGCTTTCATGGCACTTATTGAACACACCAGTCATCACTGCGCCTATGTTGGGGCTTGGTGTGCTTATGTGTTCGGCTACAGGGGGACATGGCCTCTTTCCAGTTCTGCACCTTATACTATGTGACGCTCCCTTGCTCTTTCTCCTATCCATCCGAAAACCCTGAGCCCTAAACCCGAAATCAAGACTGTCAGAACGGACTGTGTGTTTGTTTTGCCGGTGCTCTTACCGGAACTCATCGCCCAACTTCTTCATGCACTGCGACTGCTTGTCAAGGATGTGTTCGATGGCGTTGCGATAACTTCTATCTGAACGCCATAACCCTAAGTTCCATGTACTCATATAATATATACATTGGCCTTAATGTAGTCCATACATAGGTACTTTGGGGCTCATGTAACTGGAAAAGGGTACATGGACCCTTGGGGTAAGTCATGGGATGCAAGACCAGACCGGGAGTTTCACAGTAGGCTTTCGCGAAAATCCCCAAGGGTTCACGTGCCTAATAACCATATACTCTCCCTAATAGTAACCTACATAACTACCATCCGAAACCTAAGAACCTAACTATTGGGTCCTTTGGACCCTTGGGGTAGGGTAGATGTTCTCCGCGCGTGTGTGTGTGTGTGTGTTTTTGTGTTCTGGGTTCTTGTGCTGTAGGCTTCATGTCGAGATGTTGGTTCGAAGACATTTACTCGAAACTTAGCTTCGGTAAAATGTACAGACCATTTCGAGATTTGGGTTCGAAAACATCTACTCGACACTTAGCTTCGGTACAATGTGCAGACCTCAGGAAGACGCCACTAATTCTCCTATATCCGCAAGAAGAACACTCAATGACCCTTGAACCCCAACAGGATGTGTTGCGTGAAGAAGCTGTTCTCGTCAGGTAGTGCCCACCCAGGCCACAGAACTACCGTCAACGATGGCACGAGTATTAGCCACATATACCCACTACTCTTGAAACAGAAAACGATAAACCCTACACCGTAACACTGAAACCCCTGTATTCCCTAATTCCGAAACCCTGCTCCCCAGATCCCGAACTCCCCTCTCTACGAAGAGGTTCATGGTAGGGGGATGAAGTGAGGTAACTATACAAATAGCCCAGGACGAATAACCTATAACTACCCATGAACCTCCAAGTACCAGGCGCTCTTCGTCTGTGGTGCAGAGGGATCATGGCCGAGCCCCGAGGAACGCTGGGAAAGTTCAGGGTTTCAGGGTTTCCGGATTTCATGCCCAATAACTCCGAGTTGTGTGCAGGTCCATGGTGTCTTAGGATGTTGCCATGGCATTGCCACAGGCTGCTCTTCTTGGATTAGGGTGTTGCTGTCGAGCCGTATAAGCCCCAAAACCCTGAACCTTAAACCCTCAAACTCTTCAACCCTAAACCCTAACCCCTAAACCCCAAACCCAAAACACCCTAAAAACCTCAAAAACCCCAAACCCCTACAAAGCCCCAAACCCGACTAAACCCTCAACCTTCCGCCTGGACCCCCGAAATCATACTTTCGTCGATGGAAACCCCAGGCCTGAGAGTAACTGCTCTGATTGCTTTGGGGGGAACCCAGAGACTCCAATATCCCTTAGTTAAGGAATGGACCTTAAGTTATATTAAGGATCCTACTATAATTCAAGGTATACTCCTTAATTAAGGGATATTGGAGTCTCTGGGAAGTGGGGATGCTGCGCCTGAAGCGCTGTTGACTTTTTTGTGGTTGGGGGTTGATTCTAAGTAGTACATAATACGATTGGTTGTTGGCTTGTTTCCTAAGGAGCATTAGCAAATACCACCGAAGAACACTGTTCTAGGTAGAAAGGCTCCCATATTAAGTAGGAGTTAAGCATGCCTGAATGTATGTATGAGGCACGGACAGATGGATATCTTGCGGCATTGCGGATTTTGGTCGTCGGAGTCTTAGGCATAAGGAATTGCCGGCATGTACAATGCAAAGTCATGCCCGGTCTGACAAGTTGGGTCCCCTAGGCTGCAATGACAAGCAGTACTGTGCTGTTGAATTGTTTCCAGGTGGGCTTCGGAAGATGCCGACACTCTCGTCGTTCTTACAGACCTTGTTGCCTTCTCTGCAGGCGCATGTAGCCGCAGCACTTACCGAGCAGTGGAACGACGCGGCCAATGCCACCTGGCAGGAATGACCGAAATCGTGAATGCCAACAGACAGCAATTAAGAATGATAGCCGAGGGCAGCAGTGCCAGTCAGAGTCTTGGCAACGGGGCCTCAGTAGACCAAGAAACATCTAGAGCAGCTCATCTAGATAGTTGTGCTGCTGTAGGTGACAGAGATTGCATGTCTGCTATTGCGCTCATCACCTGTTTGCCTTGACCATTGCATATTCAGTTGTGCCGCAGAGAAGGTGAAGACCGTGGTAGGAGTCGGGCCTAGTAACACATCCTTCCGGTTATGAATATTCTGGGAGTTCCAGTGCCCCCACGGAGCCGCTTCAGATTTCAAGGGATTCTTTATTTCAAGCCTATATAATTAGTTTGAGATATTCATTAGAATCAAGTTGCTGAGGTCTTCTGCGTGTCGCCACGAACAGTTGTGGCTTACAAGCAGCTGGGCAAGCATCTCGAGGCATAAACCCAGTACAAGGTGCGTGCTGTAGAAAATCAAGCTCACCTAGAACTACACTCCAAATGAGTACTCGTCAGATGGGACGCAGTTGTCGCGGTATCCTTCGTATCATTAGTGCAATCAGTCCGGTTGCATTCGCTTCATCACCTACAACAGCGTGCCAACTCCTCATGACTTTTGTAGCAACCCGTAGTTGGGATTTCGTTACATCATGAACGGCCCCAGTGTAAAACACCGCGCGCAAACAGCAGTTTCGGGCTTGACGAAGTCTGGCAAAGTCTCCACATGTAGAACAAGCTCTTCGTGCACGCCCTGCCACAATATCTTTTGTGCTACAGTCCGTTTTATATCACGTTCAATATGCCCCCGATGATTTCGTTCCCAATTTGTCCACGGCTTCTTGGAACCTCGCAGCCCAATGAAGATCCCAGTTTCTCAAATTCCCGAAGTTGCGAACCAAGGAATCAAAGCCGAAGACCCGAAGCATCCTTAAGTACCTATGTATAGTGACTACCTTAAGGCCTATGTATATACTATATAGGTTCATGGACCCTTAGGGTGAGCCAATCGAGGTGGTGCACGCGGACGAAAGCCCATCTCGAGGACAACGGCGTGGATGTCTTGGAGCTCGACGGGGCGAGGGGCTGAGGTCGTAAATAGGGTTACCCAGTTGGCCACCCCTGACTGCAGTTAGAACACTCAGTTGAACCCTCTTGACTGCATTTGAAACACCCAGTTGGACCCCTGGGGTATAGTTTACCATCTTGATAATAAGGAATCCCCAAAACCCCATTCTATTGTTAAGGCCCTTACATTATGCTGTTGCATCTGGCTTGGCATGTCGCGGACTCTAAAGGGATGTGAGCAATACTAATACTAGACATCGATCCCAAAGAACTAAACAAGCCTAAACCCTAAACCCTTAACCTCAGACATGGGATTCTAACTGTCAGCAGGTGGAAAAAGGCGTTGAAAAAAACCCTAAACCGTGGCTCATCTGCACCAGCAGACCCGACTCTCCCTGTTTTAAAACCCCCAAAGTTGTTCGGTCCCCAAGTCTGATGCCCAACCCCCCGAAACTCCACCCCCCAAACCCTAATGTAAGGGCCTTAATAATTAGAATGGGGTTTTGGGGATTCCTTATTATAAATATGGTAAAAATATACCCCAAACCCTATTCTAATTGCTAAGGCCCCTACATTAAATGACTAAAATCAAACTCCGTCGAGGTTGAGCTCATGAAGGGCCGCGGAGGAGCACGCTGCATGACCTTTCCCGTGCGGCGAAGTCTCTCGCTGGAAAGCTGAGGATGTGGGCTCTTCGGGTTCTCGGGGTGAGGGTTGAAGGTTTAGAATCGGAATAAATAAGGTCTTTGAATTTTTAGGGATTTAGAGTTTTGGGGTTAGGGTTAAAGTTTAAAGGTTTAGGGCTTAGGGAGGATTTCCGGATGTATTGCTTGAAGGCTTTCAGGTTTTGCGCATCAAGGTCTAAGGTGTGTGGTGTCAGGGTGTATAATGTTCATTCGAATGACTAGGCTACGGACTTTGAAAGAGCATCGAAAGATTCCCAACTGATTATCGGCAAGACAGCCTGAGCTTAGGGCCTAGTACCATATCCGCAGTCTGAGCATCAGAGAAGGCAGCTGTATGCACTCATTGCCATGGGCTCAGGGTGTAGAGTTTTCATTCGTATGTAGCTATTTGGAATTATATGTGGATGACCGCACCTCAGGATTCCAGTTGCAGGGTCGGGCAGAAGTGGATCCGCAGGATCCACTGCAATTCAACTGTGCGTGTGGCGGGAGCATGGGACTCGTGAACGGAGCATGGGGCACCGATCGAAGTGCAAGCATATATATATATATATATATACATATCCGTTCAACACAGTCTCCGAGCCGATTAAACATATGTCAGAGACATAGTCTCACATTACTTTTATGTATATATATATATACGCACACAGTATTGTGCGTGATGCCAGTCGGGTTTTGGATTGGATTCTCTAGGACTTGCCACCAGCAATCTGGTACACGGAAAAGCACATGGCCCACAAGAGCTTAATATAGGGGCGAATAATTTACAATACTATCCTGGGAAGCTCCTTATTCTAGTTATAGTTTAATATACCGCCTAAACCCTTATAGATCCCTTTAAGGGAACCCTACACCCTAAACCCCAAGCCCTTATAGATCCCCAAAAGCCTATTCTAATCGTTAAGGCCCCTACATTAGGGGCATCGGGGCGTAGGCTTTAGGGCTCTTTGTCCTGTACAGGCTACCTGGGCTACTGAATCGACCCTGAACCCTAAACCCCTACCTTGGAGGTTCATGGGTAGTGATAAGTGGGGGTATAAGTTATAAGTACTCCAATAGGAGTCATAATTTTGGTTATCCTACTTATAATCCTGGTTATAACTACCCCTAAACGCTAAACCCTATAATCCTATACCCTTAAATCCTAGACCCTATAGATCCTTTTAAAGGAGCCCTACCTATAACTACCCATGAACCACCAAGTAGGCCGTGTCAAGCTCAAGGCTTGGGCTCCCCCGTAAGGATACCACGGCAGTATCCAGAGACTCCAAGATCTCTTAATTAAGGAGTATACCTTAAATTATATTGAGGATCCTACTATAATTTAAGGTATATTCCTTAATTAAGGGATATTGGAGTCTCTGGGTAGGTAGAGCCGTCGCTTCTAAGGGTGGAGGATGCGTAGAGTGGATGTTTACCCAGGTCCTACCTGGGTGGTTGTCAAGACTAGGGTCCCTTTTTGGGGTCCGTCCTTATCATAATACGGCAGCTAAAATTTGCGGTACCCAAAAATGGACCATAGTTTTTGACAACTACCCACATCTTGTTGCTCATTTTCATGGGACAAGGATACTAACCGCATTGCAGTTCACGCTCTGCATATGCATTTCTTTGCCGTGGTCGCAGGAGTGATCATGACTAGGGACGAAGAAAGCAGTTGAGCATAAACTACAGAAATCTACCCCTTGTGAGGACAGTCCCTGAAGCAGTTTCCTATGAATCTTCTCATTGGGCAACAAGCCTAGACGGTTTCATCTACAAACTGCAGCAGCCAGCAAGGCTAGGCAACTTGCAGCGTCACGTTTCGCTTAGCTGCCTTCCAGCTTGCGGGCTGGAACAACATCATTTTAACCTAAACCTTAAACCCTACTTCCCTGAAACCCTGAAGCCCTAAACTGCGTCGGTTCCCAACCCCCGCCCTGCGGAGTGTTTGAGAGGGCCTTAATTTGCAGTTTGTGCAACAACCGTCGCCAAAGCCTTGCGCCGGTTGCAGTAGGCCCTTTTGCATGCCAGTAGTGGTCCAACAGCCTTCAAAATGTTCGACCTGCTTCAGGTCGAAAGGGTGTGTTGATCAGAGAAGCCCTTTTCGGATGATTGGACCATTTCCATGCTAGCTGCGACGGTGGGTGAGCACCAATCCGAATGCCCCCGCGGTTCAGAAACGGGTTCTGCACCTCTGCATGTCTTTTTGCCTCTGTTCGTCTTCATCCCCGTGCCACTTGAGCAATACAGGTTTCAATCCTGCACCAAAGTCAGCGTGAAATATGATAGAATCATAGAAGCCGAAATAGCTACCAACATGCTTCCTTGTGGTTCCCTATTATCACCATAACTTATAAGTATACTAAACAGAGGACCGAAACCCTATTCTAATCATTACAAGTCTAATATTATGAAAGCCCCTACATCATAGATCCCCAGCTCCTACGGCTTCCTGAGGCCCTGAGGCATGTCTGTCAAGTCGAAGTAGACCAAAGTTGATCTGAGTCGCACCGTGTCGAAAATTGGGTTGTTGTATGTTGTTGTTGTCATGGGATGTAGTGAGTTAAGTTACCATAATACGGAAACCATATCATGTACTCTAGGTCCTTGTTATGGTTAACTTAGTTAAGTTCCTTAGCAAGAACCCAGAAAGCCCACCACGATCTCCTCAGCCCTTCTGCCGGAAAAACCCTGAAACTCCAAATCCCCATGATCGAGGCCCCCAATAACCGACAGAAAACCCCAAAATTCCAAAGGACCCAATAGTCATGTACTCGGTTTTGAAAAAGTAGCTATGTAGGTTAGGATTTTGGAGATTGTATGATTATTAGGTACTTAAGTTGGACCCTTGGGGAAACTGACGGAGGCTCCACCAGAACGGGGCGGGGCTGTGCGCACTCCGCCCCTCGCAGCTCCGCGCGACGGCATTGGCACACCTGCAAAGGCCCGTGGGGCGGGTACTCGGAGGTTCAGCGAAGTCATTAAAGGTGTTCCAGTTTATTGGGGTTAGAACTATAGATGTGACGATGATAATTCTAGTCTCCTTACTCGCAAGCCTAAACTGGTGAGTCCCCTGATTCTGCAAATTTTAACCTGAAGCGAAGTCCGATGCAGACCCGAGGGGGCTCATTGGATCCCCAAGAGATTTGTGGCTCTGAAAACGCCGAAGCTCCCTCTTTGCCTCCTGGACAGACAGAACAATCAATCATACCTTGGGGATGAGGGTTCATGGGCCCTCCTGGGATTGGCTCTGGGATAAGTCCTGGGATTCCTGATCGCGGTCCGTTACCTCAATTCAATGCAAAGTGATAACATCTATGCTTCCTACTCGGGTTGCAGACGCACGCACTGGCAAAGCCACCTCCTCAAACTCCACGCGGCCTACAGCAGGTGGAACTATCGAAACATGTGTGAACCCCCACACTGGTCTGAGATCCCGAAAACTGAAAGAATACCCGAATCACCGAGTTCAGACCCTGGCAGTCAACCCCCCAGACCGCAAACCCCAACCCCGGAATCGGAAAATACCCAAATCCTTAAATGAAGCATAAACACTTCCGGAGCCCCATCAAACAAACAGAGATCATGTATTGGCCCCCGTAAATCAACACACCACGACCGAAGCCCCAATCCGAAATCAGGTGGCCGGGGCGCCCCCAGGTGCTCCGCGCCAGGGCGAGTCAAGGTCGGGTTTGAACAAGGGTTGTTTTAGAGCTTGCTGTTTTCTTTCTTGCGGGGTTCTGTAGAGGCTTAAGGAAGCAAGCAACCAAGCAAGGCAGGTAATAGGCAAGCAATCAAGCAAGTGGGGCTTTGGCTGTAAGGCTTTAAGAATGCAGCAGTGGTTCGGGCGTCGGGTTTAGCGTGTTGAGTTGCAGGTGACGGGACCATTCCACCTATATCGCTCGTAATTGCACTGTGGCAGTATTGCACGGGGCTTCGACAAGGAGTAGTTTTCGGGTTTGGCCTTCGTAGGAAACCCCCAACCCCTCGGTTCGAACAGCAAGCCCTCTTTTTGAGTTTTCGGCTTTGTTCAGTTATAGGACAGATGCATTGGATCCTCAACAAACTGAGGTTTCGCGTTCCTTAAAATTTTGGGCTCATGGTTCTTGGGATCAGCGTCGGAAGGGGACGAAAGCTGTTTCGGCGAATGTGGCGAAATTCAGAGACCTGGCATATACGCGATAGGACCTTCAGGGTTTGTTCTTTGGGAATGTGGGTTTGGTTTGTTTGTAAGTTCGGTTTGCTAGGGCTTGGTGCTGAGGTTTACGGTTTTTGTGTGTTGGAGTTGAAGGTTTCGGGGTTTCAGGTTTACGGTTTTGGGTTTTGGTTGGGTTCTGAGTTTGGGCTTTAGGTTGCAGTTGTTCCACTCCTAGTCCCGAGACTTGAGCCAACGCGTAGACCCTTAATGGGTGGACCTCGGGACGCTAAACCTGGCAGCCCAGATCCCTAAAAACCCAACAGCCTTAAAGCCCTTGTGCAGAGCCTTAGGAATACCACAAAACCATGTATTACCCCGCCGACAAACACTTCTAAGACCATTCAGTCCCACTTCCCTAATTGTCCAAGTAACAGTAAAGTAGATGTATTCTTTGGGGGGGGGGGGGCAAATATCTACTATATAAGAACCTTCTATATTGGTACTTGGACCCTTTGGGCTTATAAGGCCTTCTAGCCGCCTCTCTTCTGAACCGAAGGCCACGGCATCAGCCAAGGCAGCCGGCCTCTGTGCAGCCTTTGCCTCGGGTGCCTGCCTGCGTCATCGTCATCTTCATCACCGTCGCCACCGTCAGCTTATTGTTTTCGGCTTCTCGTGATCATGGTTTCCGGTCGGGGAGTTTTCTTAGTGGTGGTATGATGCGGGTTATCAGATGATAGTCATGCCTATTGCCCTTTTACTTCGTCGTCGTCATCTTAATCAGCATAGTCATTTCCATCAACACCCTCATCGTCTTCATCACCATCGCAATCATCAGCATCAGCGCCAGCCCGTGCCCTCAAAGGTAAACCCTC